TGTTCTAAAAATAGAAAAATTGCCCCATATCATAGGTGCGCGCGAATCCCGAGACTTACGGTCTCCGTCCACGATTATGGCTCCTGGTGATATCCAAATCGGTGTAGATTTCTTAAGTAATTCCATGACCGAGAGTTAATGATAACCGTAAATGGGCAAACTTGAGCTCTATTTCGGCAAACCTGAGTGATATTTTGATAGGCCTAAATATAGGCATTAGAATGCATGAATTTTCGACTCGCACGTGATCAGGCCGTGCTCCTTGAAACTGCAGCAAGCCGGCTGTAAGCGTTACCGTTGTGCCACGGTGTTGCGTTACCGTTGTGTTCACTGTGCATGCTCAGTCAAATGTAAAAGGAAGCGGGCCTCATGGTTTTCGTAGTGTAAGTGCGGGCGATGCTCGAGTTTAATGTTAGCATCAAGTTGAATGTAAGATTTCTACTGCCCTTTAGCCAGTTGTTCGCCCCAAAGTCGGGATAGACGTACGTGAGAAATTATTGTTATAGTTTTCGTCATTATTAGGTGTTTTCTCGATTGCCTGTTGCCTTGGAATAGTTTGTAATTTCATAGATGATCGACATCTGTTGTTCATAATCGCTCAGTGACTTCTATTCATTGTAATTGTAAGTTAGTTAAGGTCGGTTGGTCATTGTACACTTCATTTCAGTTTTTACGTATTGGATCATCATTAAAGTTGCCACATTTGTCTACCTGTCGTGGTTCATTGATGGCTCCGATTCAGTCTGAAAATTTATCGCCGTAACACCGTTGTAAAGCAAAGGATTTCTTCGCAGTTTTTTTCTACTTTTGAGTTGGGAGGTACAACAAAACACTTAATGACTGGGCCCCGCGGGAAACAATGAGTTTTGTTTCCCCTCGACATCAGTGTTCCCTACGGCTTCACCTCAGGCTCGGGGAACACCAGAGGAGGTTGGCCTCGCGCCGAACTACATTTTGGGTAAATATTACAATGTGCTTCAGTTCACACGTTCTCTCATGCTGTTCGGATCCCTGGAAAGGAGACCGAAGATACGTTAAAAGCTGAATTTCTTTCGTCTTTTCGGTGTAAATGCTGAACATTGAACGTT